ATTTTTTTTTATTTAATAATGATTCAAATATACGTACAAGCATTACCTTGACAGCTTACAGTGGCTTTATTGAGTATTCTAGGTCTTGCTCAGACTGGAAACCTGGTTAACTCATAAAATTAGTTTCTCAATGAAGTGTTAGGATTGTAATGTTGCTGCTATTTCAATTTAAATGGAATTACATAATTTTTTGAGGTGAAAGCACTGTTTTTACGAATTACCAATTGGAGGAACCCCCTACCGAATAAGCTTTTGGTTAAGCATATTATGCGGAATAACTTTCTTACGGAGCTGGGTCTCAAAATCGCCTCAAGGCAAAACAAATATAAAGTGGGATTAAAAACAAGTGCTTCATATGTAAAATGCAGGGTAACTAGTGAACCGGGAAAACCGAAAAAAAGCTTGACATTAGAAGTCACCGGGAAAATCTCGTGAATTTAGATGACAAATCTGGAAAATTAAACATCGTCCTCTTTTTGAAAACAATAAGCTTGCAAGACCCTTTGACTAGACTAGATACCACGGTATTTCAAAGAATATTTCCAAGGATGAGCTAGGCAAACTCTAAGAGAGTTTTTTTTTATTAAAAAAAACTTTCCGATGGCATCATCCTTCTTCAAACTACACCAAATGAAGGCTTAGGTACGAAAGCTTTTTTTTCCTTTATTATAGAGATTTTCTGCCTTTGGCTCGTTCATCTCTTGTTGTATTTTATACATAGTAGAGGTTAAGTTCTACTGGTTATCCGTAATCTTGTTCATTTTCATTTGCCGTTTAATTTTATAATTGTCTATTCCGCCTTTTGTCGTATGTATTTGGTTATTGTCTTCAGTTGCGGTTAGTTTACACGGCTGTTGAATTGGTTGAATCTGTGGTTATGATATGGTGAGTATATCCGTTGAGGTGTGGCGTCATTTTTCTGGCATTAACTTTTATGTGATTTGTCAAGTGACTCTACTAGTGGTTATTTTGTTTTCTTCTGTTAGAATTTCAGATAAGGTGGAAGAGATCTGCATCTTTCAGGAAACAGATCAAGGCTACTGATGTAGTTTGGTCGTCGTGAAGAACGTCGCGGATGCTGTTTGAGATTTGATGTTTTTCCCGAAGATCGGCATATTTTGGGCAGGCGCAGATAAAGTGCCCAACGGACAAAGGGACATGGCATAGATCGCACTGAAGATCTGCCGCTCATGTCGTGTGGGATTCTGGTGTGGCCGGTGCGAAGTCGGGATATTACCTTTTGTTCTCTGTGATCAGGGAGGTCCTCCCATCTGTGGATGCATCCTTTGAGCTTGCGTAAGAACAGTGTCGTTCGATTATTCCAAATAGTTGACCAAGAGTTGTGGTATCGTGGTATCGTGGTATCGTGGATGGGGACTTCATTTGTGAAATGTTAACCCGGAGCCTGCTAGATGGTCCACTTCGTCATTCCCCTTTATCCCACAGTGGCCAGGTATCCATGCGAGGCTTCGGCAGTAAAAACCGAACAAAGATCAGGTATACGATGGGAAGCGCAGAGATTTGGACCCGTTATCCCAATGCCTACGCCGAGGGGACATTTTGAACCGTCAGTGTAGCGAATGCAGTATCCGCTATATTTCTTGTTCAGCCATTCAGTGTCCGATTTCTTTAGAACAAGTGAATTGTCTCCAGCTCTGAACTAGCTCCTAATATGATTGTCGGTTTGAATCTCAGGTAGGCTCCAACTTCTTGAACCGCAGCGATGAAGTTCGGATATGGGTGGGAGGTTACAGTTGCAGAATCGATTCAATAGTCTGTTGACCTCTGTGATGAGGGTTGTCCCGTCATTCCCGGATGTCATCCCCATGTAACTCACTGCTCGTTTGCACTCCGTGCTGGCAACTACGTGAGCGAAAGGAAGCACCCCCAGCTTCACGCAAACGGCATCTGCAGGTGTCGAAGGCAACAAACTGGATACGGTTCGGATTGCATTGTTTTATGTAGAACTCAGCTTATCTATCACAGTGTCAGCTGCTGAACATAGAATTTCAATACCGTAGAGGAGCTTTGATTCCACGATGGCCCAAGAGACTCGTAACCTGATGTCCTTTTTCAATGCTGCGTTGAGGTTCGGCGGTTAAGACGAGCGTTACAATTATATTTGACATCTTTCAGGTGCTCCAAGAAGCTGAGTCGGTTGTCAAGTCAAGTCTTCTTGTAAGGAATCGGTTGGCTGTTGATTGTGATCGGTTGAAGTGGTGGCCGGTGCCTTGATTTGCAGGTGTGAGTGCGCACGCTTTTTACTGCAGAAAGGTTAAATCCGACTGAATCGGTCCAATGGACTACGGCATTTACTGCTGCCTGCAATTTCCTTCTTAGAAGAAGGTGACTTTTACCTGGAACTACTAAGACGATGTCATCCGCGTACACCAGGATGTAAATACCTTCCACTGGTCGAAGATGCTGTTCATGGCCACTAAGAAGAGGGTCACGTCAAGGACTGAACCTTGTGGAACGCCAGTTTCCTCGCTGGCTATTCTCGAGCGGTGATTCCCAGTTGTCACTTGAAAGGTTCTTTTCATAAGGAAATTCTGTAGGAAATGCATGATGTTCCCGGAGAGTCCCCACTGAGCCAGTTGTTTCAGTATTCCCGGAGTCCACGTCCGGTTGTAGGCTTTGGCCAAGTCGAGAGAGGCGATCTCTACATGTTGATCGTTGTCCATGGCTTCACCTAAGATTTGGCCGAGTGCAGAAAAATAGGTACTAGTTCCATGCCCCGATAGCTGTTTTCTTCGAGGAAATCAACCAGGCAACGGGTTACCATTTGTTCTATCACTTTGAAGGCACAGCACGTGAGCGATATAGGACGGAGTGCTGATAAATCCTCGAAGTATTCTGCGAGGTTTTCCGCGACTATGCTGGGGTGCCTCGTTATCACGCTCGCATTTTGAATAGTGATGCCCACGGATCTTCACTTGCCATTCAGTGTGTTAACTCTCGCCCAGATTTCAGCAGGGCTCTGATTCGAATTGATGCCGTCGAGGAAGGATTCCCACGATTCTTGCTTTGCCCGTCGAATTGTCTGTCTGCATTCATTTCTTTTCATACTATAATGTTTGATTGCTACTTCTTTATCCGGATGTCCTGATGGTAGACGTTTGACCGCGCGAAGGGCCTTTCGCCTTGCTTTCACCGCGCTTTTGGTTATGGCCGGGTTTCGAGTTTGTTTTGGATATGGCTTCAGTGGCTGCGCAGGAGCTCCGTGACATCACTGGGTTCTTCTGCATTCAATCTCCCATCTATTATACTTTGGAAAAGGTTCCAGTTGGCCTCAGCATACTTCCAACGTGGTCTTCGAGATGTTTCTGGAGGAGGTTTGCTAAGATTGATCAGTAACGGGTAGTGGTCGCTACCCATGGGCTCACTGGCTGTTCTCCAGCGGACTCTGCTGGCTAGGCCGGAACTGACCATGGACACATCAATTGAAGTGTTTTGTTGACCTCGTGTGAACGTATGGGAGCCGTCATTCATGGTGGTTAGGTCGCAAGTTTCAGCTACTTCGGGTAGTATTAAACCTCTCGTTTTTTTGGTTGGGCTTCTCCAAGTGGAATGGTGGCCATTGATATCGCCCAGGAACACCACTGGTTTTTAGGTACAATTTATAGTTTGCAGGAGTCGATTTCGGAGGTTTGAAATCTTCCCACAGGGTAGGTATATACTAACAATCGACATCGGGAATGGTGACTCAATTCTGACTGCCACGATAGGAAGATCCGAATTGATATTTATGGGCGTAGAGGGTATCGAGGCCAGAATGCCGATGGCTATGGAGAGGTAGATGTTTTGCTCGCACTTGTAGATCCAGCGGTATCTGCCCGATAGCGATTTATTAAGATGATCGACGGTGGTCCTATGGACTTCTTGTAACACTAGTGGGTGGGTTCTGTCCTAGCAGCATCTCTAGGTCTGTCACGTTTCGGTGGAAACCATTTTTATTCCACTGGATGATGTGGTTTATGCTGTATTCATTGATGGATGGTCTGTTTCCGTTGTTGGATGGTGGAGGCAGCGTTGGAAAAGATCGCGATATTTCACGAAGTTCACCAAGGGAAAAGTTTGCGAGTCATAGTGAGTTTTGATCCCAGCCGAGGTCGGTGGGATTTTTCTGAGGCATAAAAATCTCTGGTCACGTCTTTCTTCGGAAGGGAAGTAAAGCCGTTGGTCCCGGCCCATGTGTGTATTGAATGGGTGCGATATCCTACGCAGGTGTGGAAGCTGCCTTCCTGCACATTCGGTTGCCGTCAATGGATGGCAATCGATGTCCGTCGGTGATTGGTACTAGATTGCGGAACAGAGACCGTCGTTAAATAAAAAAAAGGAAAGGATAGTGAGTTTTGGTAAACTTTTCCAACACTGGATGGAGGTTTTCGCGATTGGCGTATCGGGACTCTATCAGAAGATGGCGTCCTGGAGGAATCCGTCCGTTGTAGGTTCGAGAGGTGCGTATTTGCGGGTAGTAAACCTGTTCCTCGTATGACGCTGATGGTGTGGTTTTCACAGTGCTGTTTTTTCATTTGTAGTCGGCACTCAGTGGAAGGACCGGATATATTTAAGGCTGCGGTATTATTCTGGTTGAGTTGAAATTGATCGTAAGCTTCTGGGTCGGAGAGTGCGGCCACGTGCGGCCATTGGGAGTGCCGGTGGGTGTACGTTGCTTGATGTGATGAGGTACGAAGGATCAAAAGGGTTCCATAATGCATCTCTGAGCGGTTATTAATTAATGTCGCGATTTGGTACTCCTCCGACCATAGTGCCACAGACAGCTCATGTGTAGCGCTGCAGGTGGATAGAAAATCCATATCGTGCGCCCGTTGGTGAACGTGCTGCCCAACATTCCTTTGAGCTTGTATATCTCCTTCTTCAGCTGTCGATTCTTTCCGTTTTCGTTGTATACCTCTATGGGCGATCCTGTCAGCACCCAATTATCAAACATTTCTGGCCTAATCTTGAAACTTTCCCCCCTTTTCGCTACTTTACAGCCGAAGCCGACTCTATAGGATGTGTGGAGGTGCTGGCCACGGTTTGTTCGACCATACTGATGGTTCTGACACTGCCCATATCGATCTTCCTTTGCTTCAAGGTCGTCCAGGAATACGAACGAGCAGTCATCTTCCGACTCGGTCGATTAAGGTAGTTACCCATATCACAAAATCGTTTTCCTGAAGATTTATACTCCGTTTACTTTTTTCTCAGATCTGGAGGTGCTAGAGGTCCCGGTGTATTCTTCGTCCTGCCGTGCATCGACAACTACTGCAAGGTAGATCTACGTACCGTATCGTTCGACGTACCTCCGCAGGAGGTTCTAACGCGCGACTCCGTAACCGTTTCCGTCGATGCCGTCGTGTACTATCGCATCCGTGACCCGTTGAATGCCGTCGTGCAGGTTGCCAACTACAGTCACTCCACCAGACTGTTGGCTGCGACTACCTTGAGAAATGTCCTCGGTACGCGGAATCTGTCCGAGCTGCTGTCGGAGCGGGAGGTAATTTCCCACTCGATGCAGGTCACTCTGGATGAAGCCACCGACCCCTGGGGCGTTCAAGTCGAACGCGTTGAAATGTAAGCCTATCCGTCAACCTAAATATTCTATCCCATACCTTAACTAACCTACTAATTTCAGTAAGGACGTCTCCCTGCCGGACTCGCTGCAGCGTTCGATGGCTGCCGAGGCGGAAGCTGCCCGCGAAGCCCGTGCCAAGGTCATTGCCGCCGAGGGTGAAATGAAGGCCTCTCGAGCACTGAAGGAAGCATCCGACATTATGTGTGAAAGTCCGGCAGCTCTGCAGTTGCGTTATCTCCAGACTTTGAGCAGCATTGCCGGCGAAAAGAACTCGACTATCATCTTCCCTCTACCGATCGAACTAATCGGACCGTTGATGAACATCAGCTCGAGTATTACCAGCAGAATGGCGGCTGCACCGGTGGCTCAACCAGTGGCGGCACCTGCTGCTATGCCTCATCCAGAAGCAATCGACTAGCATTTACCAATGGAATGTAGACAGATGCTGTGGCGCTTCGACTCGTTGTAGGAATGGGAGTTGATAAAAATTACAAACACCTGTTAACACAATTACCTTAATCAATACGAAACAAAGATGCCAATCGGGGGATGTGAACTCAAGTCATTTCACTTTAAACTTAATGATTTAAAAGGGTATTTTGCACACCTTTGATGGCGTCATATTAAACGCTTTATAACTACACCAATCGGGGAGACAGTATTTCCGTTCTTCTCGAAGTGTGGTAATGTTTTCAGATACGTGCCAAAACCATACCGACGATGTGTGTGCTAATGGATATTTAGTAGGTAAACAATGATGCGAATTTGCAATGAGCGGCGTGACGCCGGAGTTGGTTTTAGTAGAGTTATCTAAGTCCTAGATGTTGTAAATACAAGTTTTTACAATTCGAAATGGTTTTGCTGACTAGTAGAGAAATTCCTTGAACAGTTTGGTTTTCAGTGTTCGTTATACACAGAGGCGTATTCTGAATCACGAGTGAGGTGAGGTGGCAATAGTCATCGAGAGAGAGGTGATTATCCATTTGATGTGCACGGAGAGTCACTCGCGGCGACTTTTGTCACCTCACTAGTTACACCTCACTCGCGGCGCATAAAATAAGGAGGACTAAACTTTCGACAGACTTTAAATCGATCATTGACCACATAGACCGCATTCGGAACCACCGTGATGACCCCGTGGTAACCTCTACTGTGTTACCTGACTTACAACGAATGTACGTTGTTTACGAGTACCCCGAATACAACGTATAATTTTACATTGCAAATGCTATGCAAAATTAGACGAGTCGGGGTACGCGTATACAACGTATATTCATTATAAGTCAGGTAGCACAGTCGTAGGGGACGTTTGCACAAACAATCAATACAAAACTAACGATTTTAAATTGGCTCACTACTTGACTAGCCTATTGGTCCCAAGCAACCGATTAACGTACCCCATTCTAGTCAAAATTCTAGTACCACACTATGTTTGTTTTGATTCGCTATGAAAGTTTGACAGATAAAATGAGGGGTTAATGGATTTTCCTATGTTTCGAGGGGTGAATCGATTAGCTTGGGACCAAAGAGAGTACCAGAGCTGAGCCAAAAAGTTGAGCAAGTTTCTTCGGGACCTACTAGTCTTAGAGTTACCTCTATGATTGCACTTTTACACAAAAACATGCCGTGCGACATAGCTCTGAAATTTATTTATTGACTACATTGGTCATAGGAACAAGGGACAATTGGCGTTAACGACACCATCGAAAAAGCGTCTCTTCTAGCAAAGATTGACAGTTTCTTATGGGAATTTTCAGTGAAGTGAAAGGATAGTACCATAGAGGTAACTCTAAGACTAGAAGGTCCCGAAATAACGTGCTCAGTTTTTTGGCTCAGCTCTGGTACTCTCTTCGGTCCCAAGCTAATCGATTCACCCCTCGAAACATAGGAAAATCCACTAACCCCTCATTTTATCTGTCAAACTTTCATAGCGAATCAAAACAAACATTGTGTAGTACTTGAGTTTCAACTAGAATGAGGTACGATAATCGTTTGCTTGGGACCAATAGGCTAGTCAAGTAGTGAGCCAATTTAAAATCGTTATTTTCGTATTGATTGTTGGTACCAGAGCTGAGCCAAAAAGTTGAGCACGTTATTTCGGGACCTTCTAGTCTTAGAGTTACCTCTTTGTTATTGTCTCCTCTTCTCTTAGACATTGATAGGCCCTTTTCTCGTGTTGCGCGAGAAATGTGTTTGCGAAGGCGTTGTTATTAAGGCTGTGAACCATTTGCCGAGTTAAATTTAACTCGTGGTTAAAAGTGACATTTCGAAAGTTATTTTCTATGTTCGAAAATCCCCGTGCTGTCGATCGACCGGTTTTCGAGCCACGGTTGTCAAAATTTAACTTCTTGTCTGTCAGAAATAACCATGCTCGGATAGCAGGGTTAATCGATAACTTTTCATCTGTCAAATTTTAACCAAAAGTTAAAATAATCCACCAAATGGTTCAGAGCCTAAAGAGCCTGAATTTATAAAGAGACGACATCAGGCATCCCTAGTAGCACGCTTGTCACAAATCAATTGTAGAACCTTATATACGACTTATTTCAGTCATAAACAAGTTGCTGTAACTTATTGTGATGAAAGTGTGCTACTCGGTATCGTGATTTTTGGTTGTGTAGCCGTCCAAACTAACATTGCAGGTTTTATCAAGGTTTTATAGCATTCTTCAAGACTAAATCTTGGTCTACAGAACCCTCATAAATCAAAAATTGTTACTTGGGGTGTGCTCTGACGAATACGTGGTCTTGCTGGTGTTCCATCGCGATCCGTTCTTTGTATGTCGACCCGAATGATGCTGCTTTGTCAGGTGACCAGCGTTCGTCACGCCGTCCGAATGTGGAATCTGCGTCTAAGGCCGTGGCCAGGGTAGACGCGACACGCGACGCGACGCGATGCGACTCACGCAAGGAATAATAATAAATAATAAGATTCTTTTGAATTGGTCGCGTCGCGTCGCGAATCGCGTCTACCCTGGCCGTACCCTAAGGCACGATCGCTGATCGGTTTCCAAGCGAATACCGTTCGATTCACCGTCCGATAGTGGAATGGTGGAGGCGAACCAGCCCAAGGCTGAAAGCCTCCCTAATAAAGATAAATTAATTAATTAGTGGAATGTGTTGGCTCGACTGCCAACGTGATGTTTGACTTGAATCTTAAACGGCTGCTCGTTGGGCCTTGCCAACAGATGACGACAAATTCCAGCTGCACCAGCTGCGAGCCGACATCGCTTACTCGGAATCGGTAGTTCTTAAAAGAACACCGCGAAAGTAAAACTCTTTTTAGAGCAGCGACGGCAACAAGCAACGGTGGAACAGCAACTCTCCATTTCGGAAGTAGAGGGAACAGGAACTCCACTGAGCAGGACCACCGACAAAACTAGGACGGTAACAGGGACCCCTTGCATCGATATCGAATCGACGGGAAAACTGGAATTTTCTTTCTTGGATAGGATAACTTCAGCTTCTTCACTTTATCTCTATATTGCTTGGCAATTCGGAAACGACTGACAATGTGAATGCGTGATTCGCTTGGTTTTATACTTTTTTGAATCAAAGAGAAATTAAATGACGATGATGATTGGTCTAACAATCTACTACGCAAAACGGAATGAACGTGTACAATGTTATAAAAGCTAGTTTCTGATTGGATGTTTACACTTATTTCTGTTCTTATTGCTAGTGTTAGTAAGGGAAGCCGTTTGCCCGCGGCGTTCTCGGGGTTAGTAAAACAAAATGCAAGGAGGGGAAAAAGGATAGGGAAATATTTCTGCTGTGCTGATTTCTGCGGCCAACATCGGAAACGTGGAGTGGTTAGCGGTGGCGGTGTAATCGATACACGGCAGTGGTACCAATCTATTCGCTGTTGCGAACATCCTCCCCGGCGCAAAGAGATGGGTTGCCAGAAGTCGTAGTTTGATCAGCGATGTGTCGCTCCTGTTTATCTAACGGTAAAACAGATATTTTTGTTATTGGGCGCCGAAAATTCGAATCTCCAACCTTAACGTCAACAACACGCACCAAACCGTCTTCCCCAGGATATGTGTGGACTATTTTTCCCAACTTCCACTGCTGTGGTGGCAGATTTTTCTCTTCAACCAAAACGACGGTACCGGGGGCGACATTCTCTAGACGAATCCGATTTTTCCCTCTAGGCTGTAAGTTTACGAGATAGTCATGAGCCCATGACTTCCAAAAATGTTCCCTCATCTGTTGTAGGTGTTGCCACCTTGACAAACGATTTTCGTTCAAACCTTCATAAGAAGGCTCAGGGACAGCGGTCAATGGCCTTCCAATGAGGAAATGTGCAGGAGTTATAACTTCACCCTCAGTTGGGTCATCAGAATGCGAAAACAGCGGTCGAGAATTAAGAATGGCCTCAATTTGTGTGAGCAATGTGTAAAACTCCTCAAAAGTCAAAGGTGTTTGCTTCAGAATACGCTTAAGGTGGTATTTCGTACTTTTGACCGCAGCTTCCCACAAACCACCAAATTCCGGAGCTTCTGGGGGAATAAAATGCCAAACAATCTCTTTAGTTCGGCAGAAGGCTTCAAGGTCGTGGACAGCAATGTGGTCACGGAATAAGAGGAAAAGGTCATGTAGTTCTGCCTGGGCACCCCGGAAATTGCTACCATTATCCGAGTGTAGCTCTCGAATCAACCCTCTTCGACTTACAAACCGCTGCAGAGCAGCAATAAAGGCAACAGACGTCATATCAGACACGAGTTCGAGATGGATAGATTTCGTCACCAAACAAACAAACACCGCTATATATGCCTTAACAAGAGTCGGTTTTCGGGATCCTTGTTTGATCAGAAACGGTCCTGCATAATCTACCCCGGAAACTTCAAAAGGAGCGGCAGGCGTTACGCGGCTTTCTGGCAAACTACCCATATATTGGGCAGTTCCTCTAGGCTTCACACGGAAGCATCGAACACATCGTCGTGTTATCTTTCGTACTGCAGATCGGGCACCGAGTAACCAGAAGCGTTGGCGTAGCGTGGACAAAAGACCAGATGGTCCCACATGAAGGTGTTCTACATGATATGCTTGAATAATGAGATCGGTCAAAGGATGATTAGGCAAAATATACTGATGTTTCGTATAGAAAGGGACACGAGAATGTTGGATCCGACCTCCTACGCGTAGAACACCATCCTTCAGAAAGGGTCCTAGCATACCAATCCTTCGACAGGGTTCCTGATCCTCAACTCTCTGAATTTCATCAAGAAGTGTTTCATACTGGATGACCTTTACGATTGTGTGAAGTGCAGATCTTAGTTCTTGGATGGTAGGTAGAGGTTCCTTAACACGAGCTTCAACTTCTTTTGTTCGACAATTGGTAATGCATCGTTGTACAAAGGCAAGCACCCGTTGCAATTTGCGAAAGAAGCTAAATCTCTTGAAAACGGGTAGGTCATCTGTATTCAACACGATCATTACAACGAGTGGAGTGGGTTTTACGTCCGGATGTTGATTTTCTGGAACTTCCT